ATTCTATTCTATTCTATTCTATTCTATTCTATTCTATTCTATTCTATTCTATATTCCTCTTTGCTCAACAGAAGGAGTCTAGATTATACACTTAGCATAATTAAATTAAAGTTCCCAGAGTATCCTTTGTTACCAGAGTTTTAAAAAATAAAACACACATTTTAACTGCAATTTCCAAGGTACAATTCCTTCCAGAAAATGAAACAAATAATGTATAGAAGAAGATATATCCCAAAGGTGTATTTTCAGGAGGTAACTGGACTTTATTTTTTCAAGACATTTCACTTCTTATCCAAGAAACTGGATGTTGGGGAATGGAAGGATTTATATTCTTTGCAGACAGCTTGGTCATTTGCATTCTTTTTAGAGAGTCATTGATGTCACTTGGAGGTTTATCTATGTGCTTAGGGTCACTTGAGTGGTGCAAATGACAGCTGTCTGCAGGGAATATAAATCCTTCCATTCCCCACCATCCAGTCAGAGCTGAAGAAGCTTCTTGGATGAGAAGCAAAACGTCTTCAGAGAAAAGAAAATCTACTTGTCTCCTGGAAAAACACCTTTGGGACAACCATGACCTGGATGACTGAGAATATCCATAGACATTTAGTTATGCTATGCTAAATAGACACCAGCACAATACCACTGAGAAAGAAAAACAAGAAATCCAAGAAGAAACCAGCATGGCTGCACAAAGATCTCTCTGGCAAATTGAAAGAAAAAAAGGACAAGTACAAAAAATGGAAAGAAGGACATACAACTAAGGCAGAATATCAGCAGATAGCCAGAATCTGCAAAGACAAAGTCAGGATAGCAAAGGCTCAGAACAAACAAAGATTTGTAACAAAAGTAAAAGATAATAAAAAAGGTTTCTTCCAACATATAAATAACAAGAAAAAAATCAAGGAAACAGTCGGTCCACTAAAGAGAGAAGATGGCAAGGAAGTAACAGGCAACAGAGAGAAAGCAGAACTGCTTAACTCATTCTTTGCATCCGTCTTCATGCAAAAAGAAACTATAGCTCAGCCCATCAAAAATATAACTGTAAAAGACAGACCAGAAATAAAAGTTAAAATAAGCAAACAAATAGTAAGAGAACACCTGTCTGATCTTGATGAAAACAAATCACCGGGGCCTGATGGATTACATCCCAGAGTTTTAAAGGAGAGGTCATATCAGAACCACTGCACCATATCTTTCAAAAATCCTGGAGCACCAGGGAACTACCAGAGGACTGCAAAAGAGCTGATGTGGTTCCCATCTTCAAAAAAGGGGAAAAAAACAGACCCAGGAAATTATAGACCAATCAGCCTAACATCAATACCCGGGAAGATACTGGAAAAGATAATTAAAAAAAAAACAGATCTGCCAACATCTAGAAACAAGTAAAGTAATAACTAGCAGTCAGCACGGGTTTGTTAAAAACAGATCATGCCAAACCAATCTTATTTCATTTTTCAATATAGTGACTAAATTAGTAGACTGGCAAAATACTGTGGACATAATATATTTAGATTTCAGCAAGGCATCTGACAAAGTAGATCACAACCTACTTCTTAGTAAGCTAGAAAAAAGTGGAATAGATAGCACCACTACTAGATGGACTCACAACTGGCTGACAAACCATACTCAATGAGTAGTCCTTAATGGGTCTAAGTGTACATGGAGGGAAGTAAGCATTGGGGTGCCACAAGGTTCCGTCTTAGGCCCAGTACTCTTCAATATCTTCATTAACGACTTAAATGAGGGAATAGAAGGGGAACTTACCAAATTTGTAGATGACACTAAGCTGGCAGGAATAGCTAACATCCAAGAAGATAGGCTCAAGATCCAGATGGATCTTGACAGACTAGAACACTGGGCCATATCTAACAAAATGAAATTCAATGTAGAGAAAAGTAAAGTCCTACACTTAGGCAAGAAAAACCAAAAGTACACATAGAGACTGGGTGAAACCAGGCTCAATAGCAGTAACTGTGAGAGGGATCTTGGAGTCTTAGTGGACAACCAGCTAAATATGAGCCAGTAGTGTGCAGCAGCAGCCAAAAAAGCTAATGCAATCCTAAACTGTATTAACAGAGGGATACAGTAAAGATCAAGGGAAGTACTAATACCACTCTATAAAGCCTTAGTAAGACCACCCCTAGAGTACTGCATCCAGTTTTGTTCACCACATTATAAAAAAGATGTTGAGACTCTATAAAAAGTACAGAGAAGAGCAACCAGGATGATTAGGGGACTGGAGGCTAAAACATACAATGAACGGTTGCAGGAACTGGGCATGGCTAGTCTAGTAAAGAAAAGGACCAGGGGAGACATGATAACGGTCTTCCAATATTTGAGGGGCTGCCACAGAGAGGAAGGGGTCAAGCTATTTTCTGAAGCTCCTGTAGGCCAGACAAGGAATAATGGATGGAAACTGAACAAGGAGAGATTTAACCTGGAAATAAGGAGAAACTTTCTGACAGTGAGAACAATCAACCAATGGAACAGCTTGCCTTCAGAAGTTGTGGGAGCTTCATCACTTGAGACTTTCAAGAAGAGATTGGACTGCCATTTGTCAGAAATGGTGTAGGGTCTCCCGCTTGGGCAGGGGGTTGGACTAGATGACCTACAAGGTGCCTTCCAACTCTGATTATCTGTTAAATCTGTTGCAACTATGTACTTTGGATTGGAAGAAGATATACTTTCCCTGAAGATAATTTCTAAGTGTGCATCAAGAGCCAATCAATGTGAGAAAAGGATCCTTTCAGAGGCAAAGGATGATATGAATAAGGTCTGAATATGCAATGGCATATACAGTCTGGATCTTCCTTTCCTATTGTTTACTCTTATTGCATAATTTACAGAATAACAGTGTTGGAAGGGACCTTGAAGGTCTTTTAGTCCTGCCCAAGCAGAATACCCTATACCCGTGATGGCAAACCTTTTCTATGTTGCATGTCAAAAGTGCGCTTGTGTGTGCGCACTCGCGTGCCTACACCCATAATACAATGTGCGTGACTCCCCCCGCCCCCTGCGCATGCACGCACGACCCCCCACACTGCACGCCTCTGCACAGGGGCATGCATGCTGCATGCCTTTGCACATGCACGCATGTCTCCCACATGCGTATTTCCCCCCACGCATGCACGGCAGATACCCGACAATCAGCTGGCTGGCAGAGGGACGCAATGGGGCTCTTTCGGGCAACCTCTCGCGTGCTGGCAAAAGTGACTCTGCGTGCCACTTCCGGCATGCGTGCCATAGGTTCGCCATCATGGCCCTATACCAGTGATCCCCAACCTTTTTTATGGCGCGGCCCGGTACCGACATCAGCTGGGCGCCGCCATCTTGTTTTGATGAAAAAGTGCTTCTGGTGAGCTTTCTACCCGGAAAAGCTCACCGGAAGCACTTTTTCATCAAAACAAGATGGCGGCACCCAGCAAGCCAGCGGCCTGGTAGGACTTGTTCCACGGACCGGTAGTTGGGGACCCCTGCCCTATACCATTCCAGACAAGTGGCTGACCAATCTCATATAAGCCTCCAGTGTTGCAGCACGCACAGCTACTGAAGGCAGGCCATTCCACTATTAACTATTCTTACTGTCAGGAAATTTCTCCTTAATTCTTCACACAGAAGCCAGATTTAGTCCCATACAAAGGCAGTACTTGCTAATGTTTTTTATAAACTTATTATTTATATGGTTTTCACTCAAACAAAACACTGGGATCTGAACTCTTTCCAGAAGCCAGTACCTCAGGGGACTTCATGAAACTTTCTATCATGCAACACACAGGGTAGAAATTCATTTGTGGTAGATTTTAGATTGGTAAACGTTCACACACTTATTTCAGATACCACTTAAGAAGAGCAAACAAGAAAAGGCTCAACAAAACCTTGTCATTAAAATTAATGAATACTCATGACAGCACACTGAACAATGACAATGCTGATCAGCAGTTCTCTTATCAGTATTCTGCACCCTCCTGCAACTGAATAATGCTCTCCATGTAATAGGACTTTAGTACATTCAATCAAAGCCTTGTCAAAAAGATTCAGTATCCCAATTGTAGAAGGAATCCAATCCAGGAGACTTTTATTACCTTAGCGCATCACATGCTACAAATACATTAACAGCTTTAAAGCCAGCTCACTTACCTTATCTCTAAAGATGTGTGGGTTTAAATATATGAAGTCACGATAACTTTCAGTACGCACTTTATCCTATTAAAAAAAAAAGCATTCTGAGCACTGACTGCTATTCATTGGCCAATGATAGTTATATCAAAAGTTCATCACCTAGCAGTTATTCCTTAACCCATCTAACAAAAGCAATATTTTAAGTACAAACAGGCATTGGAAGGTGAAAAAAATAGTATTTTATCGAGAAAGTATTACGGAATTTTTAAGAGTTTTTTAGACAGCAGCAACAAAATGATCAGACCTGAGTGAAATGTGGAAATGTTAAACATACTAGGATAATTATTTATCCTTTCTGTTTGTAAGGAAATAACACATGTATCTTCTTTTTCACTGACATTCTCTAATTTTTCAAGCAATGTAATACAATGTTGTAAAATTAATAAAATACTAGTCTTAATTTGATATTCAGGATGCACACCTACCCACTTATTTCTTAGTTAGCTTTTGCTGAGGCTAACATATATAAAGCTAAAGAGATACAAAACTAAGTAACTCATAGAAGCTGTGAAAGGCACTTTGCAGTGTGCAAAGTACTGGCAGTTTTCCAGTTTGCACGCTTGAACTGGGATAATACCCTGTGTTAGAGCTGATTCTATAACCTGTTTAGCAGTTAACATTATTCCCTTTAATAAATGTGGGCAGATAGACAAACTACCAGAAAACCATATGCTTTACTATCTGTGTAAATGGCTGGAGAACCAATCAGCAAACGAAAGGCAAACAGTGCCTGGGATCCTATTTTTAGCTGCTTGCAAATGCAGGTTTAAAAATATATATATATAAAAAGAACTAAAAAAAAAGGTGTGAACTTCTCCTTGCATACAAATCAGATACTGCACCACGGGATGAAATACCAAAAGGACAAAAGTACAATTCCCTGCAGCAGATAGCAAGCTACATTCCAAAACCTGCTTTTAGGAATTAAGCATACATATCTATATCAATGCCTTTCAAGATTGAGACTGGTTGAACTTGAGAGGAGCTTGAAATTATTACTTTATACATAAATAATGTAAATTAAATTTTTTAGTGAATTTCAAATTCAACTGTCTAAAAAAACCCCACTATTCTGCTCTCATTTGTGAACCTTCTTACTTGCTGCAGTCCACAGGAATGCCTGCTCTACATTACTCTTCCATCAGAGTTTCAAAGAACAAGGATGTGGAATTGGCTGTTCTTCATCAGCAATGCAATGATACGGATTTCACTGTTTGACAACTCAGGTACCCTCACCCTTGGGCATATCTAGAAAGCTGCTTAAATTAGCTTCTGCCAGGTAATTAAGCCATCTCTTTATTCAACAGTACTTATCTGATTCTAGCAGCATTGTTTCAGAGCATCTTGTTTATTAAATATGCCATATTTTAAACACAAGAGAATATACTGTAAGGTCACAAATATTATGCAGCTTCGAACTTAAAGCTCAATTCTATGCACAGATGGTGCTGTGGAAGTACTGGACCTTAGGCTACACATCTGAAAATCTTGTTCACTCTAACAGTACAATACCCTCCAGTATTTGCTTAAGCAAGAAGGTCTTTTACCAGTATTCTCTTACCTAGCCAAGGTTTTAACTTATACAGTTGATTGTTCATCTGTAACTCAGCTGACACAGAAATCTAGCCACCGTAATTTATAAATCATGGTTGAGCAGTTAAAATTATGGGGGAACCAGGCTCACCGTGGAATGTGAATCCGTATTATCCATAGGATAGTTCCTTTGTTTTGACATTTCTTTTTCTGTACTAGTTACATACTGAGAAGCAAATGCTGCAATGTAAATGCTGGCACTAAGGTAGTCAAAATCCCAAAGGCTAGCATGTGCACAATTGTCAAAATTTAATCACAAGGTTAGTTAAATTACCTCAATTATTTAATATCAAGATATTACCGGAGAATTTGCCTCCAGAGTTTTTTCTATTGTGTTTATAGAAGACATAAATCTATATTAGCTATCAACTATCAAAGCAATCAATGAATTCCTACCCAACTGAAGGGGATCTGTAAATCTTGGGGGTGGGGTGGGGGGAACAACCAAAGCAGCATATGGGGAGGCCTTTAGATTTTGATCTGTGTGTTTACATGTGTGTTTTCCCTTATTATTTTGTTCACTTTTTTCCTTGCATTTTTACCTGAGCTTCACCAGGATAACAATCTAGTGTGGATAGGGTTAAAAATGCAGCTGTATTGCAGTATACATATGGGGAAACAGCCTCCCTTCCATCTTTCTCACCATAAAGACATGCTTCTGTTCATTTCCTAACCTTTAGCATTTCTTCATGGATCCCAAAGTGCCCGTATGAGCTGAAGTAAACATCTTCCTCATTCTCCTTTAAGTTCCCAGTCGTGCTGGCAGAGGAGCTACTTCCGATTTCTGTGTTCATCACCAAATCCTGCGCAAATTGCCTGTAATCAATTTGAAACATACCCTCAAGACATAGTACAAGAACTATAAAAAGGCAGTATATAGGTTGTATACTGTGCTATTTGGTGCCTTCCACATGCTGAAGCTCCCTCTGCTGGCTACTGCATTGAAAGTTGCTTGGAATCCTTTTGAGAGTCTCAACATCAGTATTTTTTGACATTACAGGGCATGAAAAACTATATCTGGTTGTTTTCTATAACCCTACTCAATTCTAACTATGAGAGTCAATTTGGTTAGTGGTTAAGACACTAGGTTAGATACTGGGAAACTATGAGTTCCAATCAAATGCCTATGAAGATTCTCAGTCATCCAGTTGTATCAAAAGTGGTTTTTATTTTTGAAAAGGCAACTTGACTGATTTTTTGAGGAAAAAAGAAGAAGTTTCACTTCCTATCCTGGAAGCACCAGTTGTATTGGATGCTGTGGGAAATGGAAGGACAGTTATTGACAATTGAGATTAGATGGTGGTAGTGATGGGAATGGAAAGACTGTGTTTCAATTGGTCTTAACACTATGAGTTCTAGTCTTGCCTCAGACACAAAATCAACTGGGTGACCTTGGGCCAAGACTCTCTCTCAACCCAAGAAGCAGAAGGCAACGGCAAACTATCTCCGAAAAACCTTGCCAAGAAAACTGCAGGGTTGAGTCCAGGTAGTCATCAGGAGTCAATAATGACTCAAAGATACACACGCAATTCTAGCTGTAGTACAGCAAAATGTATATTAAGATAATAATGTTTTAAAAGGTGCTTTCAGAAAACATAAAACAGCAGGGCATAGACTCCAAATAATCCAGTTGATATTAGGAAATCTTTGTCCAATTATTTTAAAGTAATTTAGCAACCTTTGAAAATAATAATATTTCAAGGAATAGCAACCAATAAAGAAAAAGTAGAAGATAATTACAGGACCACAGTAGTGGAGAAATTAACATTTTAAAGGCACTTAAACAATTAGTATTATTTTCCAGCATCGTCTTTCTGCTACAAAAACAATGAAAGTCTACAAGGCAATAGTGAATCCTTATTGAGTGGTTTAAGAACAAAAGTCAATTTTTAAAAAATAAAAGTACTATTTGAAGGAACAATAGCTATAATTTCAGAATATATAAAGTAACTAGAATGTGGAACAGAAGCTATTCTAATATTTTACAGACAAGTCTACTTCAAATAAATCTTAGCTCTTGGTAATGAACTGGACTTACTCTTGTGATTTTTCTGGCAAAAGTACAGAAATGTTTGCCAATGCCTTCTAGGATGATTTCTGACTTCCCTTCTAGCCTATAACTAAAACATTTTAAATGTGTTTTGATGCAGCCTTGGGCATCTGATTCTCTTCTTGTAAAGCAGGATTAAGGGTAGCTGTCTAAGACGTGCCAGTCTGTACTTTTTATAGTAACAAAAATATTTGGATGAGACTATTGACACTGATCAATTTCAACATCCCTGACTACTGGCCATACTGATGAGAGTTGCTGACAGGATGACGTCTGGTCACCTGCTGACTCCCTATGTACGTTCTAGTTAATGAGGGGGTAAGAAAGTACAAGAGTTGTAATCAGTCCGTGAGTTCAGAATAGATATTTTAATCAATTTTGTGACGCAAAACACTCCTGTCTCAGGACTGAGCCAAATAAAAGAACAGGAAGAATTGATTTAGCAATTCTCTATTCAAAAAATCTGAGCGGAATGCTCTACTTAGGCATCAAGTCCAATCCATACAGAAACCTAAATTAAAACACAAGTATCTAGCCTCCAGTTGAACTCATCCAATGAAAGGGACAGCACTGCTTTCACGGTAATTATTTCTACTAGTAAATTGCTTTTAGAGTTATTAAGTTCTTTCAGTGTTAAATCAGAATCTGTCTTCCAATAGCCTAGCTCCATTAAAGCAACATGCATTCTTGAATTATGAGGAACCTGTTTTGACTTTCTGATATTATTAGTCAGGTATTTGAAGATGTTATAATCCTATTCAGTCTTATCATCGTTACATATTCATAATTTCTTGATCTCTTGTAAGATTTAGTTTCTAGTCCCCTGAGCATCCTTAGTGGCCTTCCATCATATTCAAATTTGTCTAAATCCTTCTTAAAAAGTGCCAACCAGAACTAGACATACTCAGTATTAAATTTCACCAAAGAATAAATCAGAACAATTATTTTTTGTGTTTTGGAAATTATACTTCTACTATTGAAGCCTAAAAATGACTTTTTTCTAATGATATATTTCTTATACATACAGCTTTGCAGTTAATTGCTATTCAAACACCCTTTTCATAAGCACTGTAATTAAGCCAGACATCCTCCCCCAACCCTATATCTGTGCCTTTGACCTTAAATGAAGAATTTAACATCTCTCTCTGTTGAACTTCATTTATGACTTTCAGGACATTGCTCTAGCTTATACAAATTGTTGTGAATGTCATTTGTTTTCTAGGGTACCAGATAGTCCATCTAGATTTGCCTTATTTGCAAATGTGAGAAGCTTTCACTCACGCTTTCTCTTCTTCCAACACTAATAAAAGTACTGAAAAATGCAAGCTTAGGACTGAATCTTTAGACGCTTACTCAAAACAAACCTCTAGTTCAATGAGAACATTCTGACTTTGATTTTCGAGCTACCTATGTATCCACTTGATGATAATGCAATCCAGTCCATATTCCCTTTTCACTGTCTAATAAGTCTCTTGCTATTTCCTATTTGCCAAGTTTATTTTTATTGTATTATTTAAACAACAGGAGACTGTGTTTTACAAAGCTTAGTTGAATCCAATTTTGTAAAAAATATTTCCTTCTTATTGATCCATTCATTAAATGAAAAATTGTTCGGTTTTTCTTCTCTTTAATACACTAAATATCATACTCCTTGTCTTAGTTCAACTAAGTTTAATCTTTAGTTCCAGATTTTGAACTAAAAAGTGCATTATTCAAAATGATTACCTCATTTTCTGTAGATCATCTTGGGCTCTGGCCAATGCAGTTTCTGCCAATTCAGTTCTGTGTTCAGAATTTTTCAAGCATTCAAGGAGAGATGAAGCCTCAGATACTCCATTAGGACAGGAGATACTGGAAGAATCAAGAAGGTCTTCTACATCTGGAAATAAAACACAAATATTTGTACAAATCTGGAATGGAACTTAAATAAGAATGGATACTGACCATGTTTCCTAAATGTATGATAGTTTTGAAAGGCAGTCCAGACAAGAAGCATAGCCGGAAACACTAGCTCTATATTTATTGTAAGGTTCCATTTAACAGAATCTTGCGAGACTGAAAATATTTTCCCCTCTTGTTTTCTTTTTAACAAATGGGATCCCTTCTGAAACATTTCCCATGCCATTGCTTCTCTGGTTTGAGAGATCTTCTGCACCCCAATTGTCAGTCTCCAGCTTTTCCTACTGTCTTCCAAGAGCATTCCCACATATCATTACAACACATATATTCAGGAGTGACCTTCCTTTACATACTTTTACTTAGTAATGTTCTGACCCAGGCTTCATCCAAATTAAGGAAGCACAAACTGAGTGTAAAATAAATCCTATTTTAATGCAACGCTGAGAATTTCTTACATTCCCAGCCAAAACTCATTAGACACAATTCTCTGAGATAAGTTCATGCCTTTCATGGTTGTGGAAGGCTGCCAAGAAACAGAAGTCCAATTACTTAGGATATAAACCGACAGAAGTTCCAGCAAAGACAAAACAGAGTTCACAAGGCTTCAATGAGGAATCAGAATCTAATGAACTTCTTTGCTTCCTGCAAAGAGCATGTCACCGAGGGCTGACTTTTATCCCTGATGGGAAGGGCAATCACCTCCCAGCCTTACTCCCGAGTTGCCCCTGCTGCTTCAGCTGCTCTCTCCTTCTAGCAGCCCTGTGCACATGTGCACTCGGAATAGGCTCCCCAGGGTCCTCTGCTTCGTAGCTGCCAGACTCCAAAGGCTCCGAAGGCAGCACCCCACTCTCAAATGGTCCTGGCGCCATCCCTGCATCGGATGCAGGACCCTTGTCCAAGTCCTCGCCAGACTCCCTGACTGGTTGCCTTTCATCCTCACTGTCTGATACCTCTGCCATTTGCACCGGCTACTGGAGATCTACAACAAGTACAGTAGTACAATACTCTACCAACAATCAATCTAACAGTCTTTATTCTGTCACCGACCAGCAGATAAAACACCAAAGTCACAATTAACCAGTGTCAAAAAGGAAAAAATAAATAAAATATCTAAAACAGATTAGAATAAATGCTATACCATACTGCATAAACTAGAGAACAATACATGGCTGTGGTCCAGAAAATAAAATCAAACTGATCCAATAGCATCTTAAGATAAAACAGATCAGAATGGCCAGGGTATTTAGTAAAGATTTTAATAAAAATTCCTGGCGAGCACCGGCATAGGAAGGACAATACAGAATAACACATTTAATTGTTTCAATTATTCCTCCATCACATTAACATAGTCTTTGTTCAAAGGGGGATCTTTTCATATCTTCTTTCAGCAATAGCTGTTGGAAGAGCACTGAATCTGGCTAGGGATAAGGCCCTTCTGAACGTTGGGATCATTATGCAGTTAAGGTATTCCAGCTGGTTAGAGAAGATGTGCAGAGTGGCTTGAGAAAGTGTTTCTGGATAGAGCTGGAAAGTTTGCTTGCAGCGCTAAGTCAATGGCCCTCTGTTGGAGATCAAATAGCGCACATTCATGGACCATTGAGGTGACGGCAGGTCATGGAAATCCATAACATTGCAATTTGGCATGTGTTGCCTGGCACCAGGAAAACTGAAAGCTATCCACCATAATTAAAGATGGCTGGAAAAAAAGGAGAACTTAAAGCCAACAGGAAAAAATGAAAACTCTTCTCTGCTTAAGAGAAGAGATATTAAGTTCTCTATGGATAAAAGACAGCTTCCATTGTCCAGAACGATTCTTATCTCATATCAAACGTTCTGCTCTTGGAAAAGATCAAGACAATATTAGTTCATTTCTGGCAGTCTTGGATGCAACTAATTTAAATCATCATCTGGCTTGGTTATGGAACAAAAATAGTAATAACCTTGGTCACCATGACGAATGAGCTATGCTGGAAATGATCAAAATATAACTCTAAAATGCCTCTGATGGTCTAAGCTAGTTTACATGTGGGTTTTTTACATTACTATTTTCAAATAGTTTAAAGCACAGTTACTATTCCCATTTGAAAATATAAACTAATTTCCTTACAATGTTATATACTATGCAAAAATTTAAAATGAAAAAGAATATTTACCAAACTGTAGTAATAGGTCATTTTCTATTACAGGCTTCAAATAGTTATCTTCATCCCAAGGAAATGGAGGTCTAAGAGAATTAACATACTCTGCATCTGGCTTCTGAAATAGTAAATGAACATGGAAGTGACAGATTATCCTAAGAATGACTCATAGATAGAAATAACAAACTGGAATTTTTAAAGTTAGACTTGTAAGCTACCTGTAGCATAATTCTATAAATGATACATTCTTCCTCTAATTTATTGCTGAAGACAGTCTTTATTAATTTCTTATTTTTCTTGTATACATCATGCTCCTAATTTCCCATCAAAGAAAAATCATTTACCCTTCTCATCTAAGAACAGATTAATCTTGTATTTTATATTTTATATCATATACTATGCCTTATTTTCTGACACAAATAAATATCCAAGAAAGAATATACATACACATATATACAATATATCATTTCCAAAACCATTGCTTGCCATCAACAAGAAGTTGTTTTAACAATAAGTAACTCTAAAATTAGATCTAGAAACAATAAACATTATTGAATATCGTGGTCCTCATAATAGTTAGGATATTAAGAGTGAGCTAACACTTACAAATTTCCAGACTGTCTAGAATATTATGAACACTTATTTACCATATATATAAGCTGACCCAATTAACTATGGTTCTTAAGTGAAGTAATCCACCATAAATAATTTTTTTTAGATTGATTTTACATTCACATTTGGTTTACTTTTTGCATTCTCACAGTTTCTTCAAGTGGCATTCTCAGAAACCTAATACCAAATGTAGAACATATTCTTCTCATCACTCTCTAATAATTTAAATAACATTATTTAAATTACATCTATTCTACAAAATACTTGGAAACTTACCTGCAGTCTAATAAAGTTTACTAGCTTAATGTAGCCATAGAAATCAAGCCCTGAAAGAAGAAAACCAGAAATATTTATCAGAATTTTAACCTGTTTACTCTTATGTTTTTATACTTCCTTTCATTATTTTATTTCTCTACTGATTTTCTTTGTCAATTGCAGTAGAACTGTAAGTTTGCTCCACTAAATGGAATATTTGACTTTATCTCAAAAACTAACAAAGCTTATTTATTAATGTAATGACTTAAGCTACTTACAAAATCTGAATGCCATTTCAATCACAATTTTTTAGCAGTTTACAACTTGCAAAATAAATTGATCTTAGTAGAAAAACACCCGATAACTACTGGACCAGCTATTGATGTGCATGTGTGTGCAATGTGCACAAATCCCTTTGGGTCAATGTTGACTCCTGATGACTGTTTTGAGCTAACCCTGGCAAATTTTTGGAAATGGCTTAACATTGGCTTCTTCAAGGGGTGAGAGTTGACTGGCAGTCACTCAGCTGGCATTGTGCCTAAGGCAGGACTAGAATTCACAGCCCCTCCAGTTTCTAGCTTGCTGGCTTAAAAACTACACCAAACTGGCTCCTAATTGATTATTAAAATTTTAACAATAGATACATTCATAAATATTGGATAATGTAACCAATATTCAAACATTACAATAGCACTTACTTCCCAAAGATTCTGGGAATAGCACTATTTAAGGCATTAATCTTAACTCTGCAAGGAGGGAGCAGAGTATTGTAGATCTGTGGGATCCATCACAGGAAGGACTTGTGACTTTAACTATATTTTGAGAGTTGGGAATGTGGCATGCTCCCTCTGCTGGAATATATAGAGTATAGAGGCTTTTGTAACAACTAACATCTTGAATTGTACTCATTGCTATTTGCCACAATTTTCATACAAGTCTTCCAGGCAATTTGCACAGTTTTTCATCCTACTATTTTGCCACAATAGTGCTATGACGGAGATTGAGTTGAAGGAGAATAACTGGCTCAAAGTCACCTTATGATCTTCTGTACTAAAGGTGGGCTTAAACCTTACTTCCCCCCTCCCCCATGTGCCATTTCAACACTTTAACTGCTTACTCTTCACACTTCATACTTATATATAATTCAATTTAAATGTTTTATTCTCCTACTCACAGAAAAACCAATCTAAGTCACTTTATAAATAAAACCTGTTTCCATTGATATTCTCACTTTACAAATGACAACAAATTTAGTATATGTTAAGTTCTATAGCAAGGTAAGATATTCTTCCTACAAACATGAATATGCTAAAAATTCTACACATTAATATACATAGAGAAATTTGTGTAGGATATTTATACATGAATATGTCGTTGTTCCTTAAATTCTAGAATGGAATTTCTCTAAAGATAATCCCCACCAATCAAGAGAATTTCACATACAAGCAAGTTAAATAAAGTATCATTCAAACTCTGGACAATATTTTTATACAAGGCAAACATTCTGAATAAGACATACATTTAATATTTGCACCTAACAAAACCTGGCAATTATTTTCCCTAAAGATTAAAACGCCCAATTTGTAAATAATGAAATGGCAATGGAACCATAAATAAGAAAAAAAACTTACCTACAATAAAGCAGGCTTCAACATTATTATTAAATGGATTAAACATTTGGGAATTTATTAACAAAAACATAAGTTTTTATTCCCTGAATTGGAGAAGTATAATGGCATACCAAGTGTAAGTATAAAGAATACCAATAAGAATTGAAAATAAGGCACTAAATAACCAGCAGCTAATATTTTAATTTGTGTAAACAGAAGATTTAAAAATGTTTAGTTAAAAAGAATAGAAAGCTGGGAAGAAAACTGAATCTTAAAAAATTTGTTATATTTCAATATCAATATTTTTTCTGAATTGTTAAGCTTTACAATATTGCCATCAAATATGAAAAAAAATCCAATTTGACTATTGCATCTATTCTTTTCACTAGAATTTCTGAACAACTTCTGTAGAAAATAGTAAATTAAGTTCTGGGAATATGCACAGACATAAAAATCAATATTTAAAAAACACATCTGATATTCAATTTAATTCAACCTGTTAGGGATAACATTGGTTACCTAACTTAGTTTGAGTAAAATAATATATAAACTATGTTAGTGAGTTTAAGTGTATGTATCACTTTAAACTGTAAACCAAGTTTTTGGGTGCGGTTGTAAAATCACCATAAGAGGGAGCAAGAGAGCTCACTGTTTACCCTGGCTTTTACTGGAATGCTGACAAATGATGGATTGATGGTGATAACTGCGTGTTTGCTGAGAGAAGAAAAGGGGTTTGATTTTTCTTCATATCTCTGACTGCAAAAGAGATATATCACTGGACTGATTGATTGTAAGTTTAATGAACTCTTTTTCGACGCTGGACTTTGCAAACTGATTAACCCCCGGACTGACTGAACTTAGTGTATGACATATGGACTGTTTTGACTATGCTATAACTCTTGCTGGAATAAAAACTATTTAACTTGCACAGTGTATCTGTCTTACTGATTGTAAGCTACAACATTTTGTCTCACATATCTGCCTGTCTGCTAGACTGCCATTGCACGTTCTGCTAGGGTGTATATCCCTAACACAACCTGGAAACAATTTTTCCCCTATAAATACCACACCAAAAGTATGTTTCTTCACCTTAGTATAGTATAAGACTTTAATGTTTATTCTTTGTTTTAAATTTGCCAATTTTTTCGTTAGTGAAAAATTATTGTAATCTTTTCCATTTAAAACAATTTGTCATATTGATCATAGTTAATTATTGCCTGCCTTATTTTAAACAGATTTATTTTAATGTTCTTAAAACTTTAAATTGATACAATCAATTCTAATATTCAGAAAATAAATTTTGAAATGTTGAGTTAATTTTACAATACTTGTAGATTTTTATTTGTTTTTTCTCTTCTTTTCCTTTTGTAGCCTTAAGTTTAATCAACTTTTGAAAATGAAAAAAAGAAAACTATACAATATATGGAAATAAACTTACGATGTTTTTTAACCATCATCTCAATACTGAACCCGTGGTCTGAAGTACAATGACAAAAACTGTCTTCAGCTGAACTGAAAAATCTTAGAAAAAAAACAATATTTTTAAAATACCAATTTATTAAAATTAATTAAAACACACCAATTTTATACCTTTTAAAATGTAGGCATGAACAGGATAATGTAGAAATAAATCACAATATCTAGTTCTGGAATTATGAAAGACAGAATTTGGAGCACGTATTAAAGAATAAGCAATATGTTTCTGAAATATCAGGTGAAAAAATGAAGTGACAAATTGATGTTATAAACATCTCAGATACTGTACAGAGAAAATAATATCCCTAAAAGAAAGGCAGCGAGGATGGGAACAAAAGAATTACAGTAGTCAGATGTGAAAACTAACAGTGATTGAATGCAAAAGAAATTCAATATCTGAAAAAAAGGAAATACACGTGGTAAAGACTGAACACTACTATGAGTGAAGTTTTCAAGTCTTCTATTGCCTCCAACACAGAACAATGGGTCATTCATTCAGTTCTCGGCTTACAACAGTTCATTAAGTGCCCAAAGTTACAACAGCACTGAAAAAAGTGAATTTTGACCTTTTTCACACATGACCATTGCAGCATTCCCATAGTCATGTGACCAAAATTCGGATGCTTGCAACTAGTTTATAGGTTGCAGTATCCCAGGATCACGTGATCACTTTGTGTGCTCTTCTGATGAGTAAAGTCAATGGGGAAGCCAGATTCATTTAACCACGGTTATTACTTAACAACCACAGTGATTCACTTAACATCTGTGGCAAGAAAGATCGTAAAATGGGGCAGAATTCCTTTAACAAATGTCTCGCCTAGTAACAGAAATTCTGGACTCAGTTGTGGTCATAAGTCCAGGACTACTGTACTTCTCTACAAAACTTTCACTAGGAGAGGTCATGCCCACCCCCCGCCCAAAAAAAAATTGGAGCCAGTGACTGCAACCCTGCTTTTATCATCAGCCAAACTCTGCAGAAACCCATGTAACAAGTCACATTTCAAGCAAAATTCTAAAGTGGAAAGAGTGCAAAAATATGCACTTTGTGAGTTTTGTTGTGCATGTTGTATGTTCAATATCCAGTTATTTATTAAATTTCAATTAAAGTTATGTGCTGCCCATTTTGCTATCCCAAGCAACTCTGGGCGGCTAACTAAACAATTTTTGAATGAAGACAGATTGTGTGCGTGGGTTGTCTTTTAAAGATGATGTTACACTGTGCCTACTGTCCCTGTCTTATTGTCCCCATTTATCTGTATTTATTTATTATCTTCCTTTGTTCTTGTTTATGTTCATCCTTATACTTGTTACCTTGTACATGTCTGACAAATAAATAAATAGAGAATGGAGCTGTTGTGTCAAGATGCCTTTCACACAAGCTTCCTGGCGCGGGTTTAAATTGCAGGGTTTTTTTTGTCCTTTTATATACCTCTTTGGGGACTCTGCTGAAGCAAGGAAAAAGAAAGAAGATAACAGAGACAAAGCAGAAACTCGCATGATGTTTGGCTGGAGGAAGGAAGAAAGGATCCAACCTGTCGCAGAAAAGGCAGGGAATGCTATGCGAAAGTCCCTCCATCTCGGCGCTGGGATCGTCGGCACCATCCTCCTCTTCCTCCCAAGCGCCCTCATTCTCGCTATCCGACAAAGCAAGCCCCGAGTCACCTCCTGCCGGTCCCTCCGTTTCGCCTGCCATAGCGAGGGGAAAAAAAGGGCGGTGAACCAGAGTTCAACCTGCGGAAATCTGCAGAGAAAGAAAAGAGTGGGGGGGGGGGGAAATCCGTACCGATCGCCGCAGATGCCCCGGCACTCATAACTGCAACCCGTTAAAAGTTCAAACCCTTCGGCGAAAGTTCCCACGAGAAAAACACCCTGATCGGACTCTTCCCACGTGGAGCGAGAAGCTTACCCTCACTTCCGGGTTAAAGCGTCAAGTTTCCGACCAATAGGAGAGGGAAAGAGAAGAGGGGGCGGAGAAGCGCATGACTACGGTGAGTTTAGAGGGCCAAATTTCACCGGAGGTACGGAGAAAATACGCGTAAACTATAGGAACGTGCGGGAGTCCAATGTATATTTTCAAGTCAAATCAAATCAAACCTTTATTGCACAACATGTGTACAATGAAATTGAATGAGCCTCCCTTGGTGCAACCCCCCCCCAAAAAAAACACACAAAATGCACCTCAATAACTCAATAAATGAAAAAAATAGAATCCCTAAACCAAAATAAGTAATAGCTAACATACATTCCCATATACCTAATATGTATGTAACATTACATTGTATTACACAGGCATGAACATGTTGCACGTTGTGCTGGCCCTGCAAGTTTACCATATTAAACCTAATTGTGATGTTACGTTGCGTTCACAGATAAAAGCTATCTTCAAGCTTTCCTCAAGCCTTTCAACTTTGATCCCACATTTAAAAATAACTACTTCAGAAAAGGGATGCTTCTGTTGGCTACCACAAAATATTTGTATAAAATCATAGAATGGCAGAAATATCAGAAGTTTTTCTTATTAAAAACAGATATTTGCTAGATTTTCTGATTCTGCAATTGCAATTGACTAAACTCTAATACCATACTGTGGAATATAAGAGGAATAGCACTCAGCAGTACAAATCTATTCAGTGAGATTTCTTCATGGATAAATGGTATCTACCTTAGAGTTATAATATCTTTTGAGTAAAAATACTTGCTGTGACATGATGGTGATTTTTTTTTATAATCCTTGCAGAACATCTCTAATTGTTCTTCTAAATGTATGGAATCTGTTTTTACTATTGGATGTGAAAAAATATTAGAGAACAATTCTTAGACTTGGCTCTGAAGATGCTTGGAGTTGCAAATCTCTGAATTTACACAGTTAGCAATGAAGCAAGGCAAGATGCTTTGTGTATATCTGAGTGTATAATGTTTGCATTTTCTATTTACATCTGACTGTGTTTAAGTGTGGGAGGATCTATGTTTGATTGGTGTTTGAGATTTAATCTTGTTTTTCATCTTCAACATAGCATTTCTGGTTTGCAAAGTATAGATGAGCACAACAAACAGTAGTTGCGGCTACTTAGTTATTGTCTGGTGCTTTTAAATCCATGGACAGTATATCTATATTTTCTGCTTGGTTATTCCTTTGTTTTGCGTTGTTTGAGATTAGGTAGAACTAATTTGCTATAACACAAATGCACTATGGTATCCTGCTGAATCAATGTGTAACAAAATTACCTGAGGAACTTGTACAGGTAGTCCCCGGCTTACAACAGTTCATTTAATGATGGTTCAAAGTTACAACAGCACTGAAAAAAGTGATTTATGACCGTTTTTTACAGTTATGAAATTTGCAGCATCCCCATGATCATGTAGTCAAAATTCAGTGGCTTGCCAACTGGTTCATACTTATGACCATTGTGGTGTCCCAAGGTCATGTGATCACCTTTTGTGGCCTTTTGGCCAGCAAAGTCAGTGGTGAAGCCAGATTCACTGGGTTACTAACTTATCAACTGCAGTGATTCATTTAACAATTATGGCAAGAATGGTCGTAAAAGAGGGAAAACTCTTAACAACAGAAACTTTGGGCTCCATTGTGGTCTTAAGTTGAGGACTAACTGTAATCCACTCTTGTTCTTCTTTAGTTGTACATTTAATTAAGAAACATGCACACAGTATAGGAGATCTATACTATATCCATTCTACTTTGTCTTTCTTTGTATAAACCAGACTTACACTTTTCAAAGAACAAGCTCAAATTAAAATGTGGCTTGCTTGTTTGTAGTTTAAAATGTTGTTTAGGAGCCATAGTGGTTAGAATGCGTAGTGGTTAGAATGCAGTATTGCAGGCTAACTGCCCACTGCCAGGAGTTTGATCCTGAACAGCTCCAACTTGATTCAGCCTTCCATCCTTCAGATTGTTGGGGGCAATATGATGATGCCCAGTGAGTGCACATTTGGAATTGTCCCAAAATGTCAACTTTCTTATTTCACAGCTCCTCTAGTTTGATAGATCTATTACTTCCTTAAACTAGGGCTGGACAGCTTGTGGTTCTCTAGAAATTAATGAACTTCAAATTCTATTGGCATAGTTGCTGCTTAAATTTAGCAAGAATTAGACTTCCGGTGGCAATTTTGTCAAGGACAGACCAGAGACCGTGATTGTGTGCGGCTTCGATCCATGCTGTTCCCGTTAAAGGGCTCTGAATGGGGCTAGAACCACCTTGGAGGGGTGGGGAAGAAAGGGGAGACTGCCTGTTGGGTTGAGGGGAGCCTCATCTCCCCTCCCTGGCTAGATAAACTCCCCCCAAAGATGGGCTGAAGCAATGACTAAACATGGCCACCCTGAAGTTGAAGACCAATCCAGGACAAAGATTGTAGAGGAGCAGTGAAGAAGTGGACAGTGTGGAGACCAGGCAAACCAGGCGCAATATCTGAATATAAAGGTACCCCGGATTTAAAGTTTTAAGAGACTTGTAAAAAAGATTGGAAAAGAGGTGACCAGAGGGAGTGGGGGGGGAGAAATTGGACATAAGTGAAAGTGGTTTTGAACTTTAAAAAGTTAAATTTAAAGAGGAAGCTAGAAGAAAATATCTGCTTAAATTGGGTTATATTAAATTATATGATAATGGCACTAAACAGTCATAATTAAAAGCTGAACTTGAATGTACCAAAAAGAAATAATATTTAACAATTGGACTTACTGGATTATTGTAACTTAAAAGCCTTAAAAGGGAAATGAAAGTGAAAAGAAAAGGTGGAACTTGGACATAACAGAAAGCGTCACTTTATGTTAAAGGAAAATTTTCAGTGACTCTTTAAAAAGTGTGTGGTTCTCTAAAAATTGAAACTTGATACAAAGTAAGAGAAACTTTGATACAATAAGATAGAAACCCTGAAAAGTGAAATTAACACACTATAAAGGAAGAAGAAAGAAGCTTGAACCCTGGGAATACTAGGTGACTTTGAAAAAAAATTCAAAAACCAACAAAAGGAACTTAATAATAAAAATATATAAACATTGGACTATTTTGACCCTGGAAAATTGAAACAGGATTTAACAGAAGTGGATGGTTAGAAGCTGTTTAAATAAACTACTGGACAACTGGACTGGACTTAAATACCGAAGAAAGAGACAAAAGAAAAATTAAAATTGAAAGAAGTGCACAAAAATGGCAGAACTTTGCTTGGAAATAAAATTGGAAATGATAAGGGAAATGATACATGAAAGAGTGGATTTGTGCAATATTGCCTTACAAATATTAGAAATGGCGATGTTGGAGAACAAAGAAGAACAAGGAGATCCAGAGGGGGAGGAGTTGATTAGAGAAGAGGCCAGCCTCAATGAACAAATGGAATAATGAACATTAAAACAAGGGGGGAAAACATGGAAATTAAAACTTGGAGGTTTGAGGGGACAATTAAAGAGGTAACTGTTTGGAAACTCAAACAAAGAAAAAGGAAACAGCAGAAAAGGGAATTACAGGAGAAAGCTCAAAAGAGGGAAGGGATAAAAATTGGAGTCAGAAATGGGGGAGAAAAATAAAGGAAAAGGGGAGTAAGGAAAAGAACCAGAAAAGAAAGGGGGATAGAAAGCCAAAAAAAAAAATGTAAAGGAAAAGAACTGAACATGGGCTATGTTTGCACAATATGCTACACCATGATTATCATTAACTGAATTAAGCCAGTTACCTGACTTCATATTACAACACACTGAATCACAAACCAATGTATTTTGGTCTAGTCTGTTGTGGACACAAGCAACACAAATAATAATTTCACATAAGTCAAGTGTGGGTTCTTTCATGAATAGAGAAATAGAAATGTCACTCATCTGCTCTTTCTGTTTATATCATTCCTTTTTCTTGCACATTGGTAATTTTAACTCTCTGTTTACAAGCATCGCTTTCCTATAATGGTGCTCACCAACCAGTGGAGAACATTTCTTCAGAAGGTTACTGGTAATCATGTTTTGTGTATTCTAATCCAGAAAGTAAGATTATGGTTGTCCTTCAGGTTGTCTTTCTAGTACATACTGCAACCAGTGTTTCTTTGCATTAGGACTGCAAACTCTAGACAACCATTTATTGGCAGAAAAACATTTGGAGTGTCTTGTATCTTTGTAACTTTACTGTTTGGAAGAATGCAAATCCTTATAAAATCAACATGCTACTTATTCAGGTACACTGATATGAAAGGGAAGATTGTTTTGTGAAAAATTTCTTAAGTGGGTTTTGTCCCATTCTACGACTTTTCTTGCCACATTTATTAAGTGAATCACTGCAGTTGTTTTAAGTTAGTAACATAACTGTTAAGTGAATCTGGTTTCCTCGCTGACTTTGCTTGTCAGAAGGATGCAAAAGGTGATCACATGACCCCGGGACACTGCAACTGTCATAAACATGAACCAGTTATCAAGCACCTGAATGTAAATCACGTGACCTTTGGATTGCTACAATGGTCGTAAGTGTGAAAAATGGTCATAAGTCACTTTTTTCAGTGCTGTTGTAACTTTAAATAGTCACTAAGCAAACTGTTGTAAGTAGAGGACTACCTGTACTACCTGTTACTGTCATAGCAGAGAGGGAAAAGGAGATACTCTGAGGTCATCTGTATTTGAGTGTTCTGTAAGTACCTGTCTCTTGGGGCTTAGGAGAAGAGATATATTGAGAGAATAATGGAAGAGATGTCAGTTTCAAGACTCCAACAAATCCACCCCCATTCAAATCATAAGTCTCTGGCCGCATTGCTCAGAGGAAAAAAAATGATTTA